TATCGGAAATCGAAACACCTACTCGTGACGGGCCGACTCGCGACGTAACGGTGCGGCCGCACGTGCGACGGCCCGAAATCTGACGTATCTCCGTATCAATACGTTGAAACGTTGTAATACAATTTGTTTTCCATCCCGACGATTGACTGCAGCCTCGTGTTGCGCCTCGGTGCGCAGAGTGCGCCGGCTGAAAAGCGTATCGGCATTGTTTCGACGTGTTCCCCGGATTAACAACGGCGGGAAAGGGTCGTTTGCGTCGGAACGCCCGTATGCGCCATGTACGTAACTTTTCTTTCAAACGCAATGTTTTTTTTTTCTTTTTTTAATTTTTGATAGCGATGGATTATATCACGGTCCGTGAAACACATGTTTCAGCCTTCGATACGCACCAATATCCGGTCGACTCGCCTGTCGTGGCAGCTTTTTTTTGTACGATAACAATATCTAAAATAAAAATAACATTGAACAGTTTTTTTAAGCGTCCTCGATTCAGGAATTTTTTAGCCTCCCAGGTAGCGCGTTTTAATCATTTATATTCCGACGGAAACATTTTGGAACATTATTATCCTCATTTTCTCTCTCTCTCTCTCTCTCTCTCTCTTTCCCTTTGAAGTAAATCTATTTCAGAAAGGATGAAGTGCCAACGCTTCCTTTCATCCACTGTGCAACCTACTTCCTTAATAGAAATCCTTGAGGCTCGAGGGAAGAAAGTCACCGAAAGAAAGGAATCTTGCCGTCTGAAAGAAAAAAGGGGACGGAAAGTCTCCGCGACTTTTTAGTTCGTGCGTGTTTTCGCGATTCTCACGCGTATATCCCGGATTATTAATACCGACGTATTAATACCGCGAATTAAAACGACAAATATCAAAAGTAATGATATTTGCGAGTCCCCGGTGGCGCATAAATAAAACGGGTGAATTAGAAAGACCCGAAACCCGAGATTTATTGCTTGCCGTGGACTCGCGCTCGCGCTGCTCCGGTCGCCACTATCTTTATTACCCAACATCCGCGGGGGTTTCACCCGAGATGGAAATTTGCTTTCCCGCGATTTACTCACCCTTCGCGCGACTCACTCGTTCGGATAATCGATTGCGTCGATCGCGCTGGCAATGAAAGCGGAAATGCGGGGGTGGACACTCTTCGCGTCTAACGCGGTCGCGAGTAATGAAGGTGAGCGATAAGTAGGCGGCGAAAATATGCATCGCTGGCGAGTCGTCGATATTTCCAATCGCGATTCCTGTAATGAATTTTACGAGCGGAACGTCGCGAAAACACTCGCTTCTCCTGCATAACAATGTTCCGCGAAGAGTCTTGTTTATAAATTGCCGGGAGCTGTAACTTTACCAAAGTATCACGTGTAGAGACTGCGTCACGCGCGCTGTTCCACAAAATATATCGAAATTAGCTGGCGCTAATTATAAAGCGCTGATTATACATTTCTCGGCGGAAGATGCAATAGTGCCGACGGAGCAGAGCTTTCTCTGAAGATAAAGAGAGCCGGTCGTTTTTATTTTTCCCAAGACTTCTTAGCTCGTAATAATAGACACACTGTCCCTGTTCTGCTATTCGCACACGGCATTCCCTGTCCTCCACAGAGATCGCGCTTTTATGTTACGTATCCCGATTACGAGTGACGTAACATAATCCAAGCGAGTCATCAGTTTTCCGGTCAACCAACTTTCGCGGCTTGGTTACTTCCTCGCTGCTTACCGCTCGACGCAATGCTGGGGGACCGATCGAGCGTTTAGCAACAGTTACGACGGATTTACCTATTTCCCTCTATTGGCTCGGCCAGATTTACTACACGCGGACACGCGAGCTCCGACGCGGCACAACTGCCGAAATCGCGGGGTGAAAAGCAACTGCGAATATCGCTGGATTATCAGTGCGCGTAATAGGATCGACTGCGCGCAACCAGTCGAAAATGTTGCAGCAATAGCCAACTTGGTGGCAGCATGCCGCTACTTCAAGCCTTCACTCGAAAGATTACACTAGCTTACTCAAGTTTACAAGCTTACCCTTCTCTCTTGAGATCGGTTCAAGAAGTTACGAGCTTTTCTTCCTCGCTCTCTCTCTCTCTCTCTCTCTCTCTCTCTCTCTCTCTCTCTCTCTCTCTCTCTCTCTCTCTCTCTCTCTCTCTCTCTGTCTCTGTCTCTGTCTCTGTCTCTGTCTCTGTCTCTGTCTCTGTCTCTGTCTCTGTCTCTCTCTCTGTCCCTATCTCTGTCTCTGTCTGTGTCTCTGTTTCTCTCTCTCTCTCTCTCTCTCTTTTTGGCATCGCGCGTCTCGTCGTAGTCTCCGGGGGAATCACTCGTGCTAAGATGGTACATATTTAAATAGGCCTCTCGTGGTCGTCGGCACGGTCGGCGAAAGTATTAACATTTATAGAATTTCTTGACGAAACTTGTAACGCATCGCCGAGAAAGAACACCGAAGCGCTCTCTCTCTCTCTCTATCTCTCAGTGCGCGGTTATCGAATAGGATCAAACGCTCGGGACTGCTAGCTGCACGAACTCGCGCGCAAGTTTTGCAATCCCCGGCAAAATTATAAAACGTTCACTCCTCCCACGCGCAAGTCAGACGGGAAGATTTTAATTTATCCCACGCGGCACCGCATGCAACGCGCGGATAACGCAATTTTGATAATCTCGCGCGCTCCGCAAAATTGCCAACCTCTCTCTGTCGCGCGGAGATGGCTTTTTTCCTCCGCTGCGAGTGAAGGCAGAACAATAAAGCGAAGGAGGGCGAGACGTCTCTCGAGTCGTATTTACATCGTGTTTACCGTCAATACAAATCTGTCTCTTTAGCGCCAAAGCCGTAAAGCTACACGGCGCGAAGCTGCGCGGCACGCCCACGCGATTTTATTCCGCACAATTCCGACGCTGGTAAACGGGCTGGGAGAGTGGGAGAGCAACAAAAAGTGAATATTTTCGATATCCACCGCGTTCAACGGACTTTAACTTCAATGGGTTGCATATCGTCGTGAAATCCGTCACCTTTTCTCCGTCCCGCTGGAATTGCATTCCTCCGGCCTAACGCACAGCGCGCGACGCTGTCCTATCGATAATTATTACGGGCTCGGAAGTGGGGCATAATGTTCGAATACCGGATGACAAAGAGACGGTCTATTCACGACCTGATTATCCTGTGTAATAATATCATCGACACGGCCTGATTTCCATCGGAGTTCTCGACTGCCCGTCAAAAGCACGACCGGCCGCCAAGTTGCCGTCCGACCGCTGCAGGTCCGCGTTTTATCACGTGCAGCGTGACGTAATTTCGGATGAAACGGGGAGATGACCGTGAGTGAATCCGCCGATCTGAATCGCAGCTCGGCCGCTCCGTTTCGGATTCGCGACGGTTAAGTGCGTCGAGGAGCGCGAGAAGATCGAGCGGCCGTTTCCGTGAATCGCGCGCTCACCGCGCGCTAGGCGGAGGAAAGCGGTGAGATATGTCTTGACAGCTCGAAATTAATTAAACGTTCCAACGCCGCGGGATCCGTCACGTGAATGCGTTCGGCAAACTGCCGCCCCGGCTTGATTCCGACGGCGCGGCGTTAAGACCCACCCACCCACCGCCCCGAAGATATCCAGACGTCGTTGGTCGCCGGTCTGTCCGTGCGGGCATTAACGTTGCGTTCCGCTTCATTCGAATTGCAAATGCAGCCGGGTGATGCCGTAGGCGAGCTTAAGCGGGTTCAACGGCGCGTCCAGGCACATCGACGCAAGATTCGCGCGCCTCACTCGCGCGGACACGAGAGAGCGCCGCTCTCTTATATTATTAACGTGAGCACCACTCGGCGACAACCCCGTCTTACCCGATGCGAATTAGCTCCTCCGTTTGCTCCCTCCGCTCGCGCGTTTGCGGCTTGATGAGAGTGTTTGAGAGCGTCGCTGGAGGAGGAGTCATCGCTACTGCAGATTGCGCTTTACGAGCGATCGCTTTCTTGCATCCCCGGCCGGTCGGTCGGCTAATTCGTCGGCGCGCGAGAGACTCGGCTGGACGTGCGATACAATGTTTTTCTTTTTTTTTTTCTTGTTTTTTTCTTTTTTCCATACACCGCGAAAGCGCGTGATGAACATGTCGGGAAGATATGAGAGAGCGGGAATATTGTGCTTGTGTCGTTTTTAATAAAAGAAATACGCTACTCAAGTTCCTTTTTAGCTACACACGCGCTGAAATCAGCGCCGGGATATTTCGCGCGCGCAATGTTTTACGCGCGCGTTGCTTTGCAAGAAAATTTTGTACAATAGCTGTGTTCTCGCTCTCTCTCTCTCTCTCTCTCTCTCTCTCTCTCTCTCTCTCTCTCTCTCTCTCTCTCTCTCTCTCTCTCTCTCTCTCTCTCTCTCTCTCTCTCTCTCTCTCCTCTCTCTCTCTCCTCTCTTTCTCTCTCTCTCTCTCTCTCTCTCTTTCATTATGAAAGAAAGAATAACTAAAGGCGCACTTTCATTTCAGGGAGCGAAAGGGTACGAAGAAGTCGGCAGAGTCGGCGAGGAAATGAAGAGTTGAGTGGAATAAACGCGAGAGAAGGGTCAAGGACGACACGTCGTGGCGTATCGAGATATTTCCGTTTGCCGGCGGTTTCCTGAGGGAACTCACGGAGCTCGACGTTGTCCGGCGCAATTTTTCGACAAATTGATCGCGCGCTTCGACATAAAGTACAAGCGCCTCCATCACAAGAGTCTCGAGGAAATGCTGCTAATAAAGTGAGAAAACTTCAGACTGCCAAACATGGGAAACCACGATGTTGCCGCGGGGAATATGCCGCGTCAGGGAAGGTCAGTAGAACCAAACCTTGCCGCGGTGCTATTACGAGCAAAAATTGCATTTTCCATATCAGCCAACCCGACCAGCCACCGAAAACGAACTAGCGAGCGAACGAACGAACGTGGCCGGACTGCGTTCTAAAATTACAGGAAGTAATTAAGTTCTCGTGGAGGAGTAATAATAATCTCTTTCATAAAGATACCGTAATATAAAAATAATAGTTTGTTTAAACGATCATTAGAAGAGTTCGCTACTCTCTGAGCGAATGTTTTCAGAAACATAATCACGCTTGAAATGTTACATTGAGGATATTACCGAATAATCACAAAGTGCAGCGATAACTTTTACGAACTCTCGTATATCCTTGAGATATGAGAGCAAGAGAGAGAAAATCGTCGTTTCTAAACTTCGAAGACGCCGAAGATCACTCTCGTTTTCGTGAAATGCAATGAAATGTAAAGTGGCAATTGCTCATATTGCCTCACGTGCTAATTAAAGGACTTGTAACAGTCGCGCGAAGAGAGAGAGAGAGAGAGAGATACCGCCGACGAGATAATTAATAACCGCCTCTTACGGGCACTTTGATCAATTCGCGTTCGATTATAGGTCATGAGAGCCTAGAATATAATTTCGCGCAGTCGTCACCTCTCACCCTGTGTGTGATATCGGCACAACGCGCGAATATCGACATGATACGCGAGAAGGAAAAAGGAGGAGAAGAAATGCTCGCGCGCAAAGTAATAATAATAATAATAATAATAATAATACAGGATTCAACAGCTTTCAATCCGGCCTCTCTCGAGCTCGCAATTACCAATCCAATTATCAGCGTATCCCCAGGACAGAGCAACACACGTCGTTCTCGCTTATTTACAGCGTCGAACGGCGGCGCCAAGCTCGTCGAGCGTCCGCGCGACACGGACGCCGTTAGACACGAGTGACTCGCGCCGTCAATCCTAGGCGTGTGTCGCCGACGCGACGTGGCAGCCTGGAAGACTTCGCGTCATGTCGTCGCGCGGTGGAGGACGCGTCTACGAGCGGAACTTGACCTAAGGAAGGCCGTGGTGGCGTAGGCGAGAAAAGTGCGGCCGTTGCGAGAGCGACAATGTCAGCGCTCGCCAGCGACACGTTGCCGACCACCGTTGCCGGGGAACTGACGACCACACTCATACCCACCGTCACCAGGATCGACACGCAGCTGGACGTCAGTCCCGTCTCGGTGTTCCTCGCGGTCTCCATAGTGTGCATACTGTCGCCCATCACGGTCACGGGCAACTCCATCATCCTGGCCGCCTTTTACAGATACAAGAGGCTCAGGACCGCCTCCAACTGCCTGCTGGTCTCCTTGGCCATCAGCGACTTCGGGGTGAGTGCTTCTTCGCCTTCTATCTCATACCAGAGACGCACTAGAAGCAACAGACAGAGTCAATAATTGACGCATAAATTACGCCAAAGGAGAAGAGACTCTCGTCGCCGTTCGTCGTCCGGATCGCGATAGCTTTGTCGTGCTACGTGTCGACAAAATTCGCACGTTCATGCGTCCGTAAGTCGCAGACGTAAACTCGACGATCACAGCCCGGAGCGCGTTGGCTGGCGGTATCAATCTCGCGCTCGCTCCGCGTCCTTTCCAGGACTCGGTTTGTGGACAGGCTCACGAGAGAGCCAGCGCGCGTAATCCTCGCTCGGCGCTCGCACTAACCCTCCATCGTGGTGCTTCCGCGGTGCAGGTCGGCTTGTTTATGCCCTTCGGGATGCAGCTGGAGCTGTCCGGTCTGCCGGAGAACGGCCGCGTCACCACGCTCTGCATCGTGCCGTATTGCATTGTGATCGCGCTCTGCAGCGTGAGTGTCCTGGTGACCGTGGCGATCGCGGTCGACCGGCTGACGTCGTTGGCGCAGCCGTTACGTTACAAGAACATCATCACCCACAGCAGCATAGAGAAGTACATCGCGGTATTCTGGATATACGCGATCGCGGTCGGCCTCTCGCCCCTCATCTACGCTCAAATCATCGGCGGGATGCAGTCGAACAGGTGAGAGCGCTCTGTCAGGGCGGCGCGAGTCTCCTCGTCGCACACTTACAGTTTACCGTCCGCTCGGTTCATGGGAGATCCTCTCTAACGATTATCGGAAGGATCGCGGGGATCGCACCGGTCGAGGGAGATTTGTTCAATAAATGAGCAGCAATTTTCTCTCTGCATGGGGCGTAAGGATCGCTCTAAATAATAGATCTGGGGACTGGGGGATACTGGGGGCAGTAACCGCTGTTACTGCTGCTACTGTTTGCGGGGAACTGTCGTTTTAACGGGATTACCGAGCCCGATAGAAATATCCTTAATCCCTTCCGTGGCACGGACGTACCGGTGCGTCCAGATCATTTTCGTGTTGTATTGAATTTTAAGTGTAATAACTATTGTTGTAGAATTTTAAGTGTAATAACTATTGTTGTAGAATTTTTATCAAGTATTTTTTGGGGTCGCTGATTACGAATTTCAACTTAGTTTTTTATAATTTGTTAATAAAAAAAAACTATAATCAAATTAAAATGTCGGAAAATTGTAAATTTTTTTTCTCACACACGGGATGTGTGAGAGTGAGAAAGGGTGAGAGGGAGAAACTGAGGAGAGACCGCGGCGTCCGATGGAGGGATCGGCGTCATCAATGGATTTCGCGCGACGTTCGGCGTTTGACCGCAGCGCCTAGAGGAATCCGAGTGTTCGGTAGTACCAAAAAACAGAGGATGTACGACGAAGAGCGAGCAGCGAACGAGTCAGTTCGCAGCGAGCAGCAAGAGCGTTAAGAGCGATTTTATATAAAAATTGTTAATTTAGTGACTTGAGAAATTACCAATTACTTTTATTTATAATATTAAGCATTTCTAAACATTTTAGTCGCCATATTCGATCCGCCATTTTGAATTTCTATATTTTGACCTCAAGTTCGGCTTCAGCGACCAAAAAAAACTGAAGTATACAAATTATTGAAAAAATCCGCCCCGTCATTTCTTTGGGGCGGTTTCAGTGCATTTTACTGAATTTTGCTCTGCCACGGAAGGGGTTAATTTCGGCCGGATTCAAGCGGCGCGCGTACGAACCGCTTAATCAAAAGTACATTAACGGGACGCACGAGCGAGTATTTCATTTTTCCATTCTAGACCTCTCTTTTTCTTTTCTTCTCTCTTTTTCAATTCGCCTCATATCGATCGGTCTGCACCATCGGTAACCATGTCAACGTCGAGTGACGACGCTGCGCTTCTTAAATTGCCGTTAAAATAGCCGCGTGTTCTGTTGAACTCGCTTATTATCGCCGTCTCTTCCTCTCTCTCCCCCTCCTCTTTCTCTATGAAACGCGTCTTTCAAACGTCAATTACAACATCACGGGCGAACGAGAGTGAACGGAAATAACGAAGCCAAGAAATCGCGCGCAGGTGCAGTGTTAAGATATCCCAGAGAAACAAGCGTCGGGGGAAGAAATGACACGCGCGCCGCTGAATCAGCCCTTATTTGCGTGTCTGTGAAGGAGCAAGGACAAACGTGAGAGAGAGAGAGAGAGAGAGAGAGAACTCTCCTCACGATTAGCAAGGACGAGCGCCACGTGCGACATTGTTACCGCGCACGTGGGAACGATCGCAGGCGCTGCCCAACTCCGCGACGCTGACGCACAATAAAAAAAAAGAAAGAGAAAAAAACGAAATCGGTCAAATCTGCCGATCACGGCGAACGCGAATCGGCCGAGACTCGCGCGAATAACGTCAGGTCGAATTAACGTTTCGTCAATTGGCAGGCGGTTAGCCAAGCGACGACGGCTCGTGTAACGGTTGCTCACTCGGTTGCGGTCAGCTCGGACGGCCGTTTCAACGGCCGCGACGCGGCTTTGCAGTTCCGCGAGCGGAATTACGAGGGAGAGATTGCATTGAAGTTCCATCTGAAAAGTTGTATGCGATTCAGATGCATATCGCGCGCGCATCATGCCGCGACATGTGTCGTCCTGAGTCGAGTGTTTGTCATGCGTCATGCGAACGACATAATAACTGAGAGGCCGGCTAAGTGCATTCGCGAGCGGCGAAGTGCAAGCGCGGAATCGCAAGTTACGGGCTCGCGACGCGCGTCGCGGACGACGCGATTTAAACTTAACTCGAGGCTCGGCTATATCTTTCGAACGCTCCGTTATCTAAATCCCGCTTTCCTCGGCGCCCTGATATAAAGAAAGCGGAGCTGCATCAAAGAGCTTAGAGCCGCCTCGCTTGCGACGGTAACGTAGCTTCAATTACGACGGTGTAACGCCGCGCAGTTCTTTCTCCGCAGAGGGGAACGAAGCTAATATCGTACGACGCCTGCGAGAATATCTTTTAATTGGCATTTCATTTCAGAGCGCGTTCTTCGAAAGTTCTTCCTCTCCTCGGCTCCTCTCGGCTCCGCTCCTCGTCGATTATTTCCGTGCGAAGAAAAACGTCGGACTTCTCGTTATCCGTGACTCACGGCGAGATATCACGTCGTTATATTCCCGTCTCCTCCGTCGGCAAGTTCGGAAATAAACTTCGGAAATATGCGCGAGATTCGACGGCGGCCGAGATATTATCGCGCAGATTTCTCTACTCAAAGGTTGCTCATTACTTCGTTAGCCCACGACTTCGCGGCTGATTCCTCGCTGTTAACTCGCCATTTACCGCGACTGCCTTTCTGAGCCAACACTAAGCCGGCGTAAATATGGGGTAATTTTGCAACCGGGCTGCGTCACGCTGCGCGCAGCGCAATCGACGCGCCGTAAAAACGCACGAAGTGTGTCGAATTACAACGTCCCCAGGACTTACGGCGGGTATTAACTTTGCGGTATATTACCTGCACCGCCACGGCGAGAGAGAGAGAGAGAGAGAGAGAGAGAGAGAGAGAGAGAGAGAGAGAGAGAGAGAGAGAGAGAGGCTAGCTCGTCGTCTCTCGTGAGCTCGGAGCTCGTGCCGCAGCTTGCACACGACCGATCAAGTAACGCGCTAAAACGTACACTACAAAGGGTGACAAGTAGGTTCTTTACCCTGTGACGCATACCTTCGCGCAATCAAAGGAGCGATCTAAGGGGAGGGAAAGCTGCCATCGATCTCCTGTCCGCGATACGCCGCACGGTCCAGCCCTCGTGTATTATATATTCGGCACACACACACACACACACACACACACATACTGCACCGACGACATATAAATTTTTATTGGCGCTCACTCTACACACTGCAACCATCACGTGCGAGCTTCACGTCCGTAGGAAAGTACACGCTGAGTCAGAACTGTAGAGGTGTTCTGGAAGATGCAGAAAGACACGCATCTGTAAGGAAGCGGAAGCAGCCCGAGCGGTCAAATACGCCGGGTGAGACTTGATCGCTCGCGATCTGCTCAGAGTCGTTTACTTACGAGAGCAAGTGAGACGGAGAAAAAACGATACATATTTCGCTAAATTATATATGTTTGTTTATACTTATACACTTACGTACTTATACACTTACGTACATATAATTTATGCAAACCGAGATATCTCTCATTAAAGTTATGAAAATACGAATATGTACAATTTCCCCCATAATTTAATGTATTTAATAATTATTCGATGTATTTAATAATATCAGCGTATTTAGCAATTACGCTGATGACAATATAATAACGAGAATTTCTTGCCGCAGCGCGCACTGCAGATTCGACGCGGCGGTGCTGCCGCCGGTCAGGGTGTTCCTGGTCGTGGCGGTGTGGGCGCCGAGCGCCCTCGTGCTGCTCGGTTGCTACATGTACGTCTACCTCGTGGCGCGTGCACACGCACGGGCGATTTACACGGTGGAGCTGTCGTTCAGACATCAAACGCAGACCTTGGCGCTGCCTCGTTACGGGCAGACGCTGGCTGTCACGGTCGGCGCATTTCTCATCCTGTGGCTTCCATTCCAAGTGAGTAGCGATGTGCTCGTAAACAAATTCCCGTAGTCATGAAAGATTTACAATCCTCCCGTCTCCGGGCTCGTTTATTCCGAACAGCCGCGCGCGTTTCCGCGGCGCGTAGCGCTCCGGCTCTGACCGCTAAAGCTCTGTCGCCACTTGGACCGCGTCGGGCGCGTCATGACATCAATTTCATTTCGCCGCTGCCGCGCGCTACGTGCCTGGGAATGAGATTTAAGTCTGATATAGTGCTTATAAGGTGGGATCCAGGTCGGGCTCGCGCGACTCGCAGCTTGTATATTCGATGTACCTGTCACGGTGGAGGCAATAACATCGCGCCGCGGCGGGAAAGCCGCGAGAAAAAGGGAGAGGGCGGAGCGGAGAACGCGCGCGAACGTTTATTAAGACGCGACGCGAGTTTTTTCGTGTGTAATTAAATCGCCGCGCGAATTAAACTCGCGTGTAATTTAATCGTCGGCCGATCTCCTAACGCTCCTCACACGTGCTTTATAGACACATGCGGATACGATCAGCGGTATAAAGATCGCATTACTTGGACCTCGATGAACCTTAGAACTTTAGAATCTGATGGGTAAATTTCTCTTCCGGGGATTACCGGGAAACAAATTCTCCTAATGGATGGACGAATGTGACGCGAGACTTTCGGAGAGGGAGAGGTCTGGCAAACTTTCCGCCGCTTTCCACGTCGATTCGAATCGCGACGGAGAAAACAGATACGACGATGTATTTTCCTTCTGATACTGTGTTCGCTCACAATTTATGCTCTCGCTTATCTCGTTCGCCTCCTTAACCCCGTCAACCTAAAAACCGTTTATTGTACAACGCTTCCCGGCCGAAGTCGCTGACGTTCATCCCGTTCTAACAGACGATTACCCCGGGACACAGCAGGTAATGACTTGTTTACTCCTCGGCACGACCCGCGCCGCACCATAATACGTGTATTTTTTACCTGCCGCGTTATCGTCGTCGGCTGAGTCGAGCCTCGGCGCGCACGGCGGCCGAGAGGACGCCTGCAGGCTCGGGCGTTCATTATGAGCGGGTGGTAAAACGCGTTTATCGTCTCTTTCGCAAGTACGAAATTTCCCTTCGCGAAATAGTGCAGAACCGCGATATATCCGCCTCGCCGAAGTCGCCTCTCTCTCTCTCTCTCTCTTTCTCTCTCGCTTTTATCAAGAATGGAAAACTTAAATTAAGACGAAAGGTCAGCCAATATGCGCGAGATATCGCGAACGTGCCCGTGAACACTCTCGTCGCTACGGAGGATGGAAAAGAGCGGGAAGAAATACACCTGGTGAATCGCCGGCTGGTATTTCGAGCGAAAAATATTCATTACGCAACGTAAGGACGTAACGAGGGTAGTTTGAAGAAACTTGAATGTCGATTCGTGGCATGGTCGAAGGAGATCGATTATAGCTGGAACGGAACGAAAAGAAGGGAGCTCCTCTCGATCTTGGTTTGTCCTTAGCGAGCGGAAGTACGTCCGCCCGTCGAACGACGAGCGAGAGAGAGAGAGAGAGAGAGAGAGAGAGAGAGAGAGAGAGAGAGAGAGAGAGAGAGAGAGAGAGAGAGAGAGAGAGAGAGAGAGAGAAAGGGCGACGTCGTAATTTACGAAATTACAAGAACGTGGATGTGGCGGAAACGGTAGTTACGGGCGACGGAATAGGGAGAGAACTGCGCAGTTACCCCGTGGCACTTTGACCGCGTTCCTTTTGTTCTTTGCCGCGGAATGCCTCGCGGTGTAAAAGAGCCGGCGAAACAACTGAACAAACATTTCCGCGACCCCTCGTGGCACGAGAGAAACGTTATTAATGCAAATTGGCGCGATTTCATTGAAAGTGCAGTGCCCCACAGCCGTCTTCTCGAGCTCGGTCGCGTCTCGCGGAGTAAACGCCTTTTCGCGGGCTGCACCGGGAAAACAAACTTCATCGGCGCCTTTGTCCCCGCGGTCCGTGCGGAAAAACGCACGCGAGCGCTGCATCGTGAAATAATTTTTCGATACACGCGACGAGCCAACGGCGGGAACCTCAAAGGGCGCGCTCCTCATATCGGTTTTGCAGCATTTGTGCGCAGCGTCTCTTCGGCAATCGATATCTTTTTGGACAATGTCGTCGCCCGAGCGCATCGTTGAGCACAATGTCCGATGTGTCGCCATCATCATCATCATCATCATCATCATCATCATCATAGAAGGAGTTATTGTAAAACGATATTCGTCTGTAGAAGCATCGCTACCTATATCCAGAGATTTATTGTATTCTCTCACTTAGAGTTGCAAATGGCTACGCAAATGGCAATGGATATTGAAAAACTTCAAGATGATGGTAGTCGTCTCCCTCAGAGATATTGAGAGCTACGATGACAGGTAGCGATGCAATCACATGATATCGGACGAGTGCAAAAGTTTAGATGAGTCTCTCAGAAACGTAGTTGATCCATTTTCATGGCAACACCCACAAATATGTAGATGTATAAAATATATCAAAGATAATGAAAAGAAAAATGGCGGTAATTTGATAGTCGTTTTTATAATATTATTTAGTCCACACACGCAGTCCTTCTTCTGTCGTGAAATCCGTCGAAACTTTTCCACTCGCCCAATACATATCTTGCCGTCTCTTCCGCTTCATTTCAACCAATTTTACGGAGAGATGGTACTTCAACGAGCAGTGGTCTGTGTACCATAAAAGCCGATGAAAGTAGAAATTCTTCTCTTGTTGGAGGAGAGAGAGAGAGAGAGAGAGAGCTACTTCAGCCCTTTTAGGTGAAATTGTTACAAACTTTTTTCACCTTTAGTCAGCCGCGAATATTTTCCCAATATGAGGCTTGAACTTTTTCCTCTCATGTACGTTCGACAGACGCTCGTCTTTTTTTTCCAGACCTGCATGCTGGTGGACATCTTCTGCGGCACCAACATCTTGTCGGACTGGGCGGTGGTGTGGCTGGGCCTGCCGATCTTGGCGCATAGCGGCGCGAATCCCTGGATCTATGCGTTCCACCACGGCGAGATGCGCGTGGCTGCGGGCAAGATCGCCGGCGACCTGATCGCCTTGGTCTGCCTGATGCCGAGCCGCTACGGCTGCTCGCCGACGAGACGCGGCACCAACACGAACCTCGAGCTCGCCGAGATCAACAACAGCAACGAGAGCAGACGACACCCGGTGGAGGATTGCTTCGCAGCGAAGCATCACGGCGTGCTCTACTCCAGCAGGAGATGCTTGGAGGTGTCGGGCAGGCATACCAACATCTCCCCCGAGAAGAATGATATCGAGCTCGCCGCTTCGTCCAGCAGCCGGCATGGCGACATCGTCGAGGAGAACATCCACGATCTCACGAAGATGCTCGACCCGAAGTACATCATCGACCGAAGCCACGTGATCGACACGAATCACAACATCGACAAAATCAAAAACCTCAAGTACCTGTTGGACCCGACCTTCAGCAAGATACGGCATCTCAGACGGCTGAATCGCAAGCGAATAAGTCATAAGAACTTCCCGCTTATTAGCGAACCCAAGTTCACATCCTACCAGAATCTGAAGAGCGCCGACGGAGCGCACAGCAGCCGCAAATATCTCCAGCTGAACGCGCTCTCCGACCCGATGCTGAACACTGACAGTCCCGTGATGGACGCCAAGGACTTCAACGAAGTACTCTGTCGCAATAACGACGCTTGTAACAAGTGGAACGCACATCTTTCATCCATGTCGGACTCGAACATCAAGGCGGCCACGAGACGCGCCTCTCAAATCAGCTCGAAGCTCTTCCCGGTGAGCGGCAACGACGCTGAGAGCTACGGCTACTCCGTGCAGAATCTCGACCTCAACCACAGCAGATACGAGGGCGCGTTAGCTAGACACACGATGATGCTGTGCCAGCAGATTGAGGATCAACGTAGAGCCAAAATCTCGCCACATCCGCGACGGAGATTCCGCCGCTACTTCGGGCGCGCCAGTCCGAACTTGAATCTCAGGCTGCGCGGTGATCCCACACCGTCCTCGTCGGCGCCCGACAGCGTCAAACCGAGCTACGCGAACAGTCCGAGGCGAAGTGCGTCGCCTGGACAACTAACGATCACGCCGAACAAGTTGGCGAATCTGATTAACCTGGACCCACCGTCATCGAGAAGCGCACACAGCCGAGTAGACCTTACTGCCAGAGCTCTGACGCAAGCACGAAGGAACTTGGACATACTGAATCGATCCGAATCGATCAACACAATCGACCCGATGACGCGCGTGACGTTGTTGGAGCCATCGAACCTGATGGACTCGTTGATCGTGCCGACGATACACTCGGAACCGCCGAGTCCCATAGATCCTTTGCCCTCGGCACCACTTCAGGGCGAGGAAGCGCAAAGCCTCGAGATCTCGATGCCCATCGTCGACGTGACGCAACGCAACAAGTCACCGTTGAGCAAACGAAGCAGCCCGGTGCGGTACTCAGATCCGGTGATTCCAACCGTGTTGCTGAACATCGAGGACTTCAGCGAGCCGTCCGTAAACGACAGGCACGACGACTGCAGAAACGGCTCGGGGAACGATCTGTTGTCCGGCACCACGCCGACGTTGGAGCCGATCGATCTGTTCGAGGCGCTGCTGCGGAACTCGGACAAATGCAAGGACGCGAGACTGCCGGAGCCTATCTTCGCCGAGCACGACTCCACGAGGTTCAGCTCGAGACGACCTTCAGACTCCAAGTGGTCGGAGTCGTCCAGGAGCCAAGAGGTCCTGTCGAGCGTGACTGAGCATCAGACAACTTTCCCGTCGTCTTACTCGGTCAACAACTTCCAGACGTGCTGCAACAGCGGCAGCGACCTCAACGACCTCACGTCCTTGGATCCTTTCATGTGCCCGGACGCTCTCACGTCGTCCTTGCGCGAGTCCTTCTTCAGCGCGCCGTCGGTGCCCGACTCCGATATCTTCACGTCCTTCGAGGAGAGCGACGATCCCGGTCTCACGCCCGAATTCACACCAGACTCTGAGCGGGACGCCCCGCCGTACAACTCGGTCTCGACGATAAACCTGAAGAGGTGCGTTATCGAGGCAGCGATGCAGAGCCGGTCCACGGAATCGGTGCACCGCGTGAGGCACCCGTCGACGCGATCCTGTGCGATTCTCAGGCTGGAACCGTCCGTACATTCCAGCAGGCTGAGGGTCAGGCCTTGCACGAGTTACATCCTGAAGGACCCGCCGGCCAAAAGGAACCCGCGATTGGCGCCCCTCGCCATCCCCACACCCACCGACATCTGCACTCCCACGTTCGACGTTGTGTCGACGGAGATCAAGGGCGACAAAGGTGTTGGCGTTCGCGTGTGAATCGTTGGGGTGGATCGAAGGAAGAGATCCGCGAGTCTCTCATAGCTGATTTCTCGGAAACGAATGTTTGCCGGTCGCAAAATCCCATTCGTGAGGAACCTCAGGTGCGACTACGCCTCGCCGATGGAAACCAGAGGCCTCTGTATCCTGTTCCGTCAACTAGTCATTTTTAATACTTAACGTTCAAGTTATCTCCACGTTCCACATTGACGCTTCCGTTTCGGCAACATTCATTTCGGAATTTTCCGGACGCGGCGACGTCTTTTTATTTGCAGCTTTGCGTTCTTCTGTTATTATGCTGCGCTGTTTGATCCGTTCGCATCGTCATTTCTCGCATCAGGGAATTTTTATCTTCGATTTTTATTCTCGAAACATCGGTCAAGCCATCAGTCGCGTCAGAAACGAAGCTCGGTGCTTTCGAGTTGAGACGGTTTCACTGAGCGATCTTGTGAGAAACATGGTGCTAGATATATAAAAAAGGGACTTGGATGTTGTAACAAATGCGTGGAATTTTTGGATAGTCGATGTACTTGAAATTGGACTGTGATGGTGCGTATTTTCGTAAGAAATCACAAGATCATTAACAGTAACGAGAAAAAGAAGAGACTCTAGCGTCGCTATTTCGATAGCTGTTCGAGTTAGGCTAATTCGATTTACAGGAGCGACACGACGGTTAATCCGTTGTGGACAAATCGCCGTTTTAGCTGGGAGTCAACTATATATTTAATAATCCGAGCGTTCATCGGTTGACCCGATAGATCAACTGAGTCGGCGCTACGCGCGAATAATATTCCGTCTCAAACGTGAATTAATATATATATATGTATACATACACGTCGTATCGAGATAAAAAGAGAAGTTCTCTCTGTGCGGTCCAAAATATTGCCTGTGACGTGCGATGACGTTTATATTCTGCGAACCGATCCGCGAATGATCGGCTGATTACTCAGACGTTCTGTGAATCAGAACCGTGCCAAGCGTACTATATCAAATCCCGAGTTTTCGCAGCAGCCGTTCGACTCAAGCTTGTAACTTGTTATCGCTTGTGTACCTGATGAAAGATGATATATTTGTTGACTAGGAGAGATCGTGTGATATATATATATATATATATTATATATATATAAATATTATATATATATAAATATATATATCGCGAAATATTTATTATCAAAGACTATTCTCTCCGGCGAAGTTAACGAGCGCGTGGTACTTAGGCGACTAAGACTTCTCGGCATAATCGTGGACGAAGTGACAGCTTTGCGCAGCCAACACGAGTGTAGTCTGAGATGGCAAAACTTTTTCGTTTTATTTTGCCTTCTTCATTTCGCGCGCGAGTTTCCTCTGACCTAAATACCTTAGTAATAAGCGAACATGTCGATCATAAACGCGAATTTGTTGTTAAACTATCCGACGCTCCAACGAGATTCGCCACGATCGTCAACCGGAATAATAATAATAATAAGAGACTAATTTGTATACGTATTAGGGATATTTTTTTATTTTTAATTGAAAAGTTACTTTCGGAGATATTCGTTGACAGTAACGTGAATCCGCGGAATAACGTTTTGTTACGTACTGAACGAAATTGCGCGCGAGACAACATTGAGAATGTCGAGGGATCACACTCTGGCGAATATATATATATATATATATATGTATATATGTATATATATATACAATTATCACGAACGGTAGAAGGACCAAAAAGAAATAAAGCAAATATGAATTTCGAAGGGCAAAATAACATCAAACAAACACTTGTTCTACGGAGCGATTTCGGAAACTATCGTGTGTTATTTATCGTGTGAACGCAGCATTACACTTCGTCGTAACGTTTCACAACACCGTACGTAATTATTATAAATATATATATTGACATGACGGTTTTTCCGCGAGCATCTCCGTGAAGATCTCTAACTTTTGTATTACATCGCTGTAAAAATCGCTTTACTAGCTCGAACGAAATTCGAGAGTATAATCTACGAGACGCGCGAGATGGAAATCGCGTCCGATCCTCACAAATGAATGCCAATTACACATACCGAAATACTTTTATACATAAGATAATCGCGAAAGAAAGGAAGGAAGAAAGCGAGAGAAAAAGAGAGAGAGAGAGAGAGAGAGAGAAAGAAGAAAGAAAGAGAAATCACATGTAAATGTAAATTATTTTTATCGCGTACTTACATACATTTTTCAAAACAAAGTTTCCTACATACTCCATGTACCTAAACTACGGTGTCTCCGTATGCGAAGATTAATAGCGATTTAATAGCCGAGGCATGCGTCGAGGAACTTTACGAGGCGCATCAACAAATTTCTGAGCGAGTGCAGGCAGCTGAAAAAGAAGACGTTTATTTTTTCCTCGCCTTCAACGTCGACTGATCTTGCGATTTGTCTTCCATGCCGTGCAAGTTTTAAATAGACGCAGAATCCGGTACCAGAGAGCCGTGATATTTCTTTCTGGTTCTGCTGTGCCTTGCGATAACGTAGCGACAAGTGCTACCGATGAATACTTTTTTTTTGTTCTATACTCAACGCAGTCTTTGAATGTGTAAAACGTACTTCAAGTGTCAATTGTGAAGAGGAATTTTTCGTCGTCGAATTCTAGGAAATGACGTTTTTTCGCGAAATATTTTCAGATATATACCTCACAGCGCTATGTTGCGACGAGGCACAGAGGGAGATTTATCGCAGCATTACAATTTGATTTATTTCTTCACGGGACACCGTTGTAATACAAGCTCTGTAAGGATAAAGCTCCGGTATTCACGAAAGTGAGACAGGCACTGATATATTTTTATGAAATATCTTTACTGTTGTTTATAGATGTTAAGTGTGAGAACAAAGTCTCGACTCACGTTCGACAATCGATCGAACTAGGGTCGAAACGCATGTACTCTTTCTTCGACACATTATACGCGAGTATAATTTTCAAGTTATCGTTTCCCATCGTATCGTAATCAGCAGCGTTACGAGGCGAGCGCGAAACGACAAGGAAATATTGATTGGAGCAGAACGAATGGAAAAATTTACTGGTTAAAGAGAAAACTTCCGATCTACATTAGATAGTCTTTTATCCGTTTAAGGGACAACAAATTGGGACGAAAATGATAAGTACGTGTTGTAAGTCTGTTGCGTAGAACGTAAGAGAGAAAATTTTAAGTGGGAGTAGACGTAATATTTGCGACATGGGGAATTCCTTTGGTATGTCGTACTAATTTTGACTCGCTAACAAATTTTCTAGAGAGCTCGAGCCACGTGATGAAGATTCAATGAAAAGTTGAAAAGTGACGATCAATATTGCCTCATTTTTCAGTGTCGATTACACATAAATCATTTCTCAATATTTTTACATATAAATCGCATCGAGAAGAATGCAACGTTGGATCGAAAGTATGACAAGAGAAATTACATCCGAGCACTGTAATTATTCAATCACGTATATGTTTTTGTATATACGAAAAAATACAATACATTAATTAGATCCAGATATGATGATTTTTATGATTCTCCCAACTTGCGTGATAACGTTTCAATAACGTAAAAAGGAAATGCCTCAATTTGTAACAAACATATGTAATTGTTTATCGCGATGACAATTTTCTGTCAATCTTTTTATTTACATTCGATTTTATTGAATTTATCAAAATTAGTCAAATTATACCGACTTCAATCTTGATTTTGATTCTGCGAAAATACATTAACAACGTCGCACTCGCATTCACAAGATCTTACAACGTACAATTCATCGAGTTTACTTCGTTTTTTGAAGAAATAAAATAATTATACTCTTTTATTGAACAACGGTAGCGAAAAGTTTCAATTGACAAGCAAAAATCTTACAATATTACAAAAAAGTTTAATTATTATATATAACGCGTAAGTCTATTCTTTCCGCGTTCTTTCGTGTACATGAAAAATTTCACGCACATGCGTGAAATTTTTCATGTAACGGATAACTAACGCGAATTCAATCACCTTGTCAATTTTCTTCAAACTTTACCAAACTTGCAGGAATTATTAATTATACTTTCGCGATATATGTTATTAAGTGAACGTTAGTGCGCGACAGATTTCATAATTTCAAAGTCCAACGTCTAATGTGATGTTAGCAGAAGACAATCATCATCGTCGTGTTTCAGAGCACACTTCACTCGGCTGTTTGTTTTCGTCGTGTCCGTATCATTTTGAGGACACAGCTTGAAAATTTTAGTACACATACATATATTCGACGATTAATTACGTGTCACGTCATATTACGTCTTGTGTGTTCAGGTGAGCTAATGTATTATTTCTTTTACGGACTGTGTTATGATAGTTTGTCGAACGATAAAATTAGATTTGATTTACATATAATCGACACGTGTCTATTATCTTATCAATATTTAGATCTCCTAAATTATAAAATATTCAGTTACTTATATTATATATATAGTTATACTGGGCAAAATACCGTTAATTTTATATATAGTCGACAATACAGAGTTGTAATTAATTGCTTCATTTGTTTGTGTAGCAATCTTGTCATTTGATCGACAGGATGAAGAATGACTTTGTTCTATGTATGTAAACTGACATTTAACATTAACCATTTGTCACAGTACTTTCAGATTTCAGTCTACAAGCAAAATGAATTCCGAATATTTTATAAAAAGTTATGTGAAGAAGCAAAAGAATAATCCAAATGCATCGTCAGAATGTATTTGTTACAGACCACATTCCAATATTATTTGTAATGGATGTGGTTTTTGGACAAAGGGGAGAGTACGTTATTACTGTCCAGAGCATCCTAAGGTACTATATAATAAATTTGTTTTAACATGTTGTTTATTATCTCTGGAATCTTTGACAATGTTTCTAATTTGTTGACAAGTGGTATCATTAAATATTACAACTACAATTATTATTTACTTCATATTACAGATAGTTTTTCTACATGATCATGAGCAATGCCCACGTTGTAGAAGCTATGACTTTATGCTCACAGAGCTGTAAAGCCAACAATAATATTTTTCTTCTCAGTTTTCTTCAAAAGTTTATATATATATAAGTTAAAAATGATCAAAAAAAGAAATTTATTTAGACTTATGGTGATATATATCCAGTTAAGGATATATTTTATTGGATATATTTAGTATATTTTATTATTATGTGTTATATATATACACGTATAAATCTTGGTTTATAGTTTGAACAAAACTATACTATATTTATAGCAGCAGGATTGAATGTTTATTTATCTATGAGATGCAATATTATCGTATATACATAAATACTCAAGGTTATAACATCTGGATAATATTATTTTTTGTTTTGGCAATAGTCATTAGATAAAAACAAATGGAATGATTATCTTTAGAAATTGATACTAGCTGACAATTTGACATAAAGTTTCATTGCATATATTAACATTAAGTGGAAGTTGGTTTCATTGTTCTTTTCTCTTTCTGAGTTTGATCAAAAGTTGAGTATTATGCAGTATAATTATACAATCTTATCACATAAGATTGTGTGATTATGTGATATCTCTACTTATTTCAAAGATTTTTCTAAAGCATAAAAATTAAGTTAGATTACAAGCTAATACTAATTTCTTCACATGTTCCATATATTTTTATTTTGATCTATTGCCAAGATCTTAGCAAACACCAAATAACAATAATATAAATGTTAATTATAATTTCTCATTGAATAATGTAAATACGATACATATGTTATGTAAAAGTTACGTTGTTGAGAGAAATTATAACTAACAATTATACAATTGATGTTTGCTGGGTTATTATTGTTATAAAACTTTTGATTATAACTAACAAGTAATAATACTAGTTTAAATATGGAGTGTACTTTAACAATTAGTTATTAATCATTTTGACAATTTAAATATACATATAAGTATAAACAATATTTATTTCAATATTTATTTTTATGTTAATTATATAAAGACACATCATTTTCCTGAAACAGCTTAGAAAATACATTAGTGATTATATTTATTCTTATAACTAATGTACAACTATAATGAAATAGAAGTTTGAACATTGTTGAGCATCACACATTTCTCCTCTCAAGCATCTGAATTTGAAGAGAAATGTACATACTTTATATTAAAAATTGAATTTTCTTTTTCCTTTTCAAATAATGCCTATATCAAAGTTCAAATATCAAAGCCTTCTCATCAAAGCATTCATATAATGCTTATATATATACACATTAATTATATATATTAAAATGTATTTTTACTTTATGGAACATTATAATTTTAATAAACATCCTGATAACTTCATGTTATAAGATAAAAAATAGGATTTGTATTCTTTTTCATTTTTTTTGTCTATTTCTCCTCAGAATAGTGAACTATATTTGAAGAAATAAAATGTAATCTCTATGTTTTATCTCTATTATCTCTGTTATATTTAAATAATTGCATTAAATTCCATTTATACATAAAATTGATCATAAGTATGTACTTAATAAAAATAAATTTTGAATATAAAAACAAAAAATGGAATTGAAAATGAAATTTGATAATCGCCATTTTTTATTTAATTAAAAGTATCGTAGTAACAAACAATAGCAACATTATGAATTTGATAAGCGAAAAGTGGAGACTTCAAAATGCTTTTTGTACTATCTCGCTATCGTTATTTTTATCTAAGTTACAGCCCATTGAATTTGTCGTAAAGGTCCTCAGACTTGCTGTTTGATTAGATTGCTTGAAAAATAAAGCTATACGGTTGACCTCATTATTGAGTTGTACTACCTATTACCTCAGTTTCTCGATGTGTATGGTGGCGACTCGTAGCGACAACTCAGAAACTAATATAGGAAAATAACGGGTCTGAAGGCTCGTCTACATTAGCTGTAAGAGTAAAGCTAAGACTCCATGCATGCGGTGAACTGCGGCAAACGGTTGCGGTGACCAATCAGGAGGGAGGCGCAAGTCCGGTTGCGGCAAGCTCCGGCATGCGTCTGTCTCCTGATTGGTCACCGCAACCGTTTGCCGCAGCTCACCGCATGCATGGAGTCTTAGCTTAAGGCTGTAAGGTTGCAGACACGAAATGAAATATTTTCATTCGCTGACAGCTTACGTTACAGCCTTACAGCCTTACTCTTACAGCTATTGTAGACGAGCCTTTATAGTCATTCCCTTCCTTATTGTCTCTTAAAATAGGTTTAAGGGCCGTATTCAGTCGGATCTTATATTTAAGCCCGTCTTGAGTTCACGATTCAGTTCAGATATTCTGTAGCCAATGAAATGATCTATACAGTATCTGAAGATGAACTTAAAACGATCTTAAATATAAGACCGGACTATGAATACGGCCCTAAGAATTATTATACTATATCTATGATACGAGACTAAGGCTGCGTTCCGATATTCACTGCCAGTACTGAAAATACATAGTTTGCGTCACGTATACTATAGATTTTTAGTGCTGACAGTGAATATCGGAACGCAGCCTAAATCAAGCGTTTTTCGTAAACTTTTATAATTGCTTTCGTAAATACAAGTAAGTCCGTTTCTATATATCTAATTCTTATCGTTATATTGTTATCTCAGTTTAGAATCATTGTTGCTTTAATCGTTATCACATTTTTTTATTTAACTACAGTAATCTAAAATAATTCTTACCCAAGATAATATTAAATTTGTTATTTCTTATATATTTTATATCTGAGTCATATAAGATCTCTTTCTCTATTTTGCTCGATATATGTACTTTTCCCAAAAATTTATGTAATACTTATTAAAGTAAAAAATTGTAATGATGGTAGAGATAGCATTCAACATGCAAGATTCCAATATAAACGAGGAAGATTCTCAAATCAGCCAATGGTACGGAGTAAGGGAAGCTACATTATTTGCAGTTGACGCAACACAACAAATGTTTAAGGAAGATCCTGAAACTAAACTCAGCTATATCCATAAATTTTTTAAAGTTAGTAACGTTGCAAGTTACATCTTTATGCAGATATATTACAGTTTTTGTAAACTTTCTTTCAGTATTATTTTATATTGATAATAGACTGGCTAATAAATTGTATATGAATAATTAATCGTCATTAACATTGTCCTTTCAGTTATACAAGCAAATTCTTCGACAAAAGCTAGCATGGAGTATGCAAGATTGGATGGGTGTAATATTATTTGGCACAGATCAGAAGGATGCAGATTCATATTGGGAACATATTCAAACTTTGCAACAACTAGGAGTTGTTACCTTGGATGATCTACAGTGTATCAGAAAATTATGTAAATTAAAATCAAGCATAATTAATGATAAATATAGCAAAAATACAATATGTAATTATTTTATGTACTTATTTTATCTGCTATATTTTCTAAAATTGTCTTAATGTTTTTCACAGCAAAAAGTAACGTAAAAGGTTACCAAAGTATGCCGCCTGAAAATACTTATCCACTTTTTAATGTACTATCGTATGCAGTGGATAAATTTTTGAAGATAAAAACTGTACTCACTATACGCAGAATAGTTTTAATTATTTGTCATAATCCTGTATTAGAAGAAGCTGAGAAGCACAAAATTAGATCAAAAGCAGCATCTTTGAAAGATCTGGATATCAAATTGCATGTGATCGGTTGGGGCAAGAATTGGGTGCATGATCATTTCTACAAAGATTTAGAGATGCTTTCGAGAAAGACGGACAGAAGTATTTACAAGATGACATCTCTGGTGGACTTGGTGCAACAGATTAAAGCACCATCCAAGAACATCGCACGATTATCCTTCAAAATGAGCGATGATTTAGAAATCAATATAGTCGTGCGTACTCTGGGCAAGTAAGACTTTAAAATATTAAACGTTGTGAGATATTTAACTCTCTTCTCAAATATAATCCCATATTACATAATTTCGTGGAATAAAATTGTAAATGCGTTTCTTCAGGAAATGTAGGTGTTTGAAAAAAAAGTCACTGAGCAAAAGATCAGGTCAGGTTTTATTAAGATCGACGTATCTCCAAGGTGATGATTCTAACGATGAGGTACATTTTACTTGCGTAACACATAAAATCAAAGTTTTCCTTATGTCTACACATTGCACATATCTTGGACTTTAAATATTTATCATCTTAAAACGTCAGTAATTTATTTATTTTTTACATAGGAGGACAGTGACAACGAAAATGAGTTAAGCTATATGATACCAGAGGAAGTCATCAAGAAAACCAAAGAGCTAATTGGTGGTGAAGAGCTGGAGTTCACGCCAAAGGAAATTTCTAATGTGAAGCATATACATCCGCCAAGCATCAAGTTAATTGGCGTGAAGCCTATACCAAACGATCTCTTTCGGTACCACGTGAAACGACAGTACTTTGTCAGACCAGACTACAACAGCACTCGTAGAGGTAACATAACGTAACTCTCAAATAAATTTAATACGTACATTTCATGTACATCTAGTTCGTGATATCGTTAATGTGACAATAAAATGTTAAGTGTCTCGTTTTTTCGCAGATAATCTATTATTCTTCAGCGCTTTGTTGGACAAATGCGCCAATAAGGGCAAGATGATAGTTTGCGCGTTCACGTTACGGATGGACACTCAAACTACTCTTTGTTATATGATTCCGAATATAGAGTTGGGCGGCTTTTATTTATCAACTGTTTACTATCAAGGTATAGATTGCATATCTCTTTATTTTATACAATCTTTGATAAAAGTATTTCACATTCGATGAAAATAAATGGTACTCTCCAGGAAGTATAGGCGATAAGAGTGAAGTATTACATCATTATAAAACGCAGAATCAAGTAACCAATAGGGAGACTGAACTGTGGAAAAGAACTATTGATCGGCTAAGCATGAACTATGATCCGTATATGTACAAATGTTATAAATTGGAATGTCAGATACAAATGGTGGAAAAATTAGCTCTGGATAAGAAGCCCGGTCCTCTGCCGGACGACAGCATCAAGCAGTCATGTGGGTAATTTTAACGTTACGAAAAACACAGTAGAATACGAATAAATCGAGAAAGATGAATAGATGAAACCAAAAAAAATAATTTTGTCACGAAAGTAAATGTATATATAATTACGTAACAACAACTGGTAATTTTGTTTCCAGATTTGAAAACTCAGGAGAAAGTGGCAGAATTTATCCCTGAATTTAAAAACATGTATCCTGACTTGGACAAAGCCAATGAATCGCCAAAAGCGAAGAGAGCTAGAAAGACTAAAGCATCATAATTTTGCAATTATATTTACACAATCTGAGCAAAACTGCCGATATCGATACGTAATTTATAATTTGATAAATTACTAGCAACCACAATTTGATTTTGGTTGATCCAATCATTGTACATTGCTCTTATATAGCATACAAGTTTTTGTACATTGTACAATTGCATTATACAATTATGTTTGGGAAAACAATCTTAATAACAATAAAAAATATTGAGTTGTATTTTTACAAGCACTATTTTATACTAAGTATTGTGAAAAAAGAGATAAGTATACACATTGTGTGGTAAATGATTGCAAGATGTATTTATATTTAAATATATTTTATTTTATTTAACAGGAAGTATTTTTGTCCAGGAAATAATATATATCTATTTGTATTAAATATATTTTTCTTTAAAATAGATATATTGATACATTATATGACCATTACTTTGCTGTTATCAGTCTTAAACTTTAATGTAGGCACTTCATCAAGGCATTAGGATAATTTACAATATATGATATAAAAATTCATTTAAAGCATGGAAATTATGAGCTGGTGTCGATTTTTTCACCTGTCCCATATATTTTTATTTAAATCTAGTATCAAAATATTTCATATTATTATTATAAACCATTTTTCATCATGTTTAATAAATAATAATATTAATTTGGATATGGAGTCTATTTTTGGCAACCAGACACTATTTTGACAATTAGGCACATGAATATATAAAATAAATAAAGTAGCTTCCTTCATATGTATATATATGTATATAAAAATACATTACTCCATTTGAATATATGTTAAAATTGTAATAGTTTTAACCAGACTGAATATGATCATATTAGCTAGATAGATGTATAAACTTCATAACTTATGCAAGATTCTCTATAACTTCCAATAATGACTTTAGAAGCTTTGTAAATTTAGGAAACATAAAATGCACATTCCTCTTGTTAGCAAGTTTCAGGACATAAAACCAGCAGAAAGTGACAAATATCCTTACTTTTTTGTCCTTTGCTCATAATTATAGAATAATTTAATAAGAAAATTACTTATATCCTACTTAATAAAAAAGAAATACATTAGCAAATACGCTTATCGTTACATAGAACTGACACGCAATTAAAAGTGAAATGAAAGTTCAAAACATTCTCGCGTGTCAAGCCAGGACCTTTTTCATTGCAAGCACGTGGGTTTAAAGGACAACGCACGTGCTTTTCTCACGAAAGGGATTGGACTTCTGCGATGAGAAGCCTACGAGCAGGCAGTCTTCCTGTTCATGTTCAGTAATGTACTTCATCATATCCTCCACAGCCTTGCTCACAGTGATCCGTTTGAGAGCGGCCTCACGGCGCAGCTGTTCCGTCACTTGACGCTGCTGTTGTAAATTCGAGATCACCATGTCCATAACAGCTGTGTATGTGTACGACAGACATTAGAAAATAACACCAATTGCAGTTTCCGTTCACATAACAGAAGAATGATGGAGAAGTAAGCAGTAAAGAAGCAAGAGAGCACAGCCGATAATTGTATCGCAAAATCGAGGCTACCTTGGACCCTGGACGTTCGAAGTTTGGACCACCGCCCGTAAAAGCTGCGAGACTCGTCAGCTGAATCCGATTTCACGTGCTTCGTTCGCGAATTCTCTTATCCACGGTACACTTTATCCTTCTTTCCTTCCTTCCTGTGCCAATCCCTTAAGGCGTCCTCACACTTGACATAACATTCGCGATGTCAGGTTAAAAAATTTTTCTTTCTAAACCGATCTGTTATATTTTCCCAAACGCTAAGATACATTATTGCGGAGTTAATATTGCAAACTTACGATTGCTGACATATAACATTTGTTTCATATAAATAATTCTTTTTTTATGATCGGCATATGTAGTTTATTACAACTAAATCGTCGATGTTTAGGTCGGCTGACTTTTGGTAGATAAATAAACAGGAGAGAGAAAGAAACAAGTATGTAAAATAAAATTTCTTTGCAAACAAAATATTGCAAATAATAAGTATTGTGTAAGTATTTGTGTAAAAAACGGCTGATTGGGCGTAAAGTCTATATTGGATTCTAGGTAATTTCCTATTACGTCACAGCCTATCAGCGCGTTTCAAATAGCGTCGTTGTAAACACACCTGCAAGTCTCTTCAACGGAACAAATATTCCTAGATGATAGGAGTCTTCCAAGAGAAAAATCTCGATCGTATCGCTCAAGAACAAAACGAAGGCGCGTTGTCGCGTGTCTCATGTGAAGAACTGAAAATTTCCGAAATTTCCGACGAAAATGGCTATGCACGTACCGAAAGCTCCTGGCGTAGCGCAGATGCTCAAGGAAGGAGCCCGCGTAAGTGCAATTTTGTTGCAATAATCATAAATTGTCATACAGTTCCGCTGACTAATGATGCCTGATCCTGCAAAGGCTATACGAAGGAGGGATCGGCTTGTTCTTACCTTTTATAGGCATTTAAGAATATCAGCGTACTAATAAATTTCTGATTAAAAAGATTTCGATTGAGTTTATTAATGTACCATAAGATATGTGTGGTATTCATTCACCCTGGTCATTCCTTGCCTGTAAATAAAATTCAATTTAATTATTGAATAATAAGATAGGAATGTAATAAAATAAAATAGATTTGGGATTATGTTTTATTTGAACCAAATTTGAACACTTATTTGTGGTGTAAAGAAAAATCTCCTTTGATGAATAATTTGTTATTTTGTATTCTTAGTATTTTTCAGGTCTTGAGGAAGCTGTTTATAGAAACATCACAGCCTGCAAACAATTGGCAGATACAGTGAGAAGTGCATATGGTCCTAATGGTATGAATAAGATGGTCATCAATCATATTGAGAAGCTCTTTGTGACCAATGATGCAGCAACGATTATCAGTGAGCTGGAAGTAGAACATCCAGCTGCAAGATTATTAGTTCTAGCATCAAAGATGCAAGAAGCAGAAGTAGGAGATGGAACAAATTTTGTCATTATCTTCGCTGGAGCATTACTTCATAATGCAGAAGAGCTGCTTCGTTTGGTATATTATTTTCTAATCTAAAGTAATATTTATTTTTATTCTTGAAAATTAATTGCTTTAAGATTATATTTATCTTAATAAATATCTAACACAAGAAGGGTATCTATGCAATTGAATAGATGGTTCACGTAATAATTTTGATTACAGGGAATTACAACTTCTGAAATAGTAGAAGGTTATGAAAATGCTCTGGAGAAGGCACTGGAAATTTTACAGACATTGGTTGTACAAGAGGTGACGGATGTACGCAATGAAGAACAAGTAAAGAAAGGAATCAGGACCACTATCATGAGCAAACAGTATGGAAATGAGGATCTTCTTGCATCTCTCGTCAGTCAGGCTTGCATTTCCATTTTGCCTGAGAAAACGACATTCAATGTGGACAATGTGCGAGTTTGCAAGATACTTGGCGGTGGTTTGAGCAACTCCCAGGTGGTGCAAGGCATGGTGTTCAAGCGTCAGGTTGAAGGAGACGTCACGACTAAGACCAGCGCCAAGATTGCAGTTTACACGGGTGCTGTAGATATCACACAGACTGAGACCAAGGGTACTGTACTGATAAAGACTGCGGACGAATTGATGAAGTTCTCGCGCGGCGAAGAATCGTTACTGGAAAACCAGATCAAGTCAATCGCTGAGAGCGGCGCCTCGGTGGTGGTCGCCGGTGGAAAGTTTGGTGACATGGCTTTACACTATATGAACAAGCACAACCTGATGGCTGTTCGCATACCAAGCAAATTCGACCTCAGACGACTGTGCAAAACCGTCGGCGCCACTGCACTTTCGAAACTGGTAATTTTATTTATCCTAATCGCGCGTCTCCTTTGAGATCAAGTGCGTGCAAATATCAGAGGCTTGCTAATATCATTGGATTTTTTAATTTTTCTTTTTAATAATAATCAATAGTACATATGTTCAAAGTATCTGCCATTTTTATATATTACTTTCAGGTAAGTGTTCAATTTCACTGTTCTAAAATTACTTTTTGAATTGCAATTCTACGAACTTCTGCAAGCACCTAATTTTTATTTTTACGACATACATTTAACTTTATACATGACATTAATATCATTAAACCATAATGATAATGGATGTTTTCCTGTGAAGGTACCTCCGTCGTCGGAAGAATTAGGATACGCCGATAAGGTGTATATAGAGGAGTTAGGAGACACCATAGTTGTAGTATTCAAGCTCGACGGTAAAGAGAGCCGCATCAGCACAGTACTCGTGCGTGGTTCTACCGAGAACTACATGGACGACATCGAACGCGCGATCGACGACGGCATCAACACATTCAAGGGCATTACGAGGGACGGTAGATTTGTCCCGGGTGCGGGCGCCACAGAGATCGAGCTGGCCGCGCAACTTGCGTCCTATGCGGATACTTTGTCCGGTTTGCAGCAGTACGCTGCGCGGAATTTTGCCACTGCACTGGAGATATTCCCTAAGACGTTGGCCGAGAGCAGCGGTACTCACGCGTCCGAGCTTCTGTCCAAGTTATATGCAGCGCATAAGGAGGGAAAGAAGAACTGCGGTTATAACATCGATGTATTGACTCCTTGCACTTTTGCCTGTCTTTTTAGTCGTGTCTCATCATTCGTTAATCGCTTGCTAAACTCGCTCAATCAAAAATGACTAACTCATTTGCGATATTTTTAGAGAAATTTTAGAATGTCAATGTCAACAAAGATGATATGGAATCGTATGCTTTTTTTCTCACAGGGCATTGGAGCAGCCTTGATTGATACCGTCGAAGCGGGTATCTTGGATTTGTATCTGACGAAACAATGGGCGATGAAGTATGCAGTAGGTGCGGCATGCACGGTCCTCAAAGTGGATCAAATCATTCTGGCAAAGCGGGCCGGCGGTCCGAAGGCGCCACCAGGAGGTGCTCCCGAGGAAGACGACTAATGGAACGCAGGAGACCAGTCTAATCACAACTTTTCACATTTAATTTATAGCATTGTGTTTATACAAATTTCGATGTATTCAAAATGTGGAATATAGCGAGTAAAGGTGAGAAAAATATATAGTGTCTGTACTCGCTGCGGAATTCCACATATTTGAAGACTGAAATTGTCGCGCTTTGCACAACAGTTTATTTCCCGGGAATAAGCAAAAATTTCTAAATTTCTAATTTAGTTATGTTCTTATTAAATGTTAGGTTATCCGCTGCGGACAATAACTCTTCTACTTTTCATCTAATATTCAATGATGATAAATAACATTTAATTGCACTCGTTTGGCTTTTTTTTATTTCGAAAATAAAAAATATATCAGGGTGAGATTTCACCCATGACAACATCAACGTGATTTTCTTTAATGCTTTTTTTTAAAGTTCAGATATTTTGTCGACTCGCGAGATATTTATAACCGGAGTCTCGTCACGTTAACGCGTGCTCCTCCGAGCGGATCAAACAAGCGTGCCCACCGATGGCCATTGTTAGTGCCAAGAGCGAATGTCCTGAGCGGACGGGATGCTGAATTGAGAGAAGCAGGACGAAGGGAACGGGACGCGGGAAACGATACATTATGCGTCTCCAGATGTGTCAAATCGTTTATTATACAGGAGACTTTGATACAGCAACATTCGAAGATTTAATATTTAATACGTACTTTTATTTTTCCCGCCCCGCCCTTTTTAGAACTTCGGGCATAGTCTGGCATAGAGATGGCAGCTGTAGTTGCAGTACATGCAGATTTTACCACCGAGACCTGAAAGTGAATGTAACATCGTAGTTCCCCTCTTAGCTGCATAATGGATGCAGTTGGCGTCCTCATCCAATGCAGAAAGTCGGTGTCGCGGAAAATGCCGTGTTGACCGCTCTCAGGTTTCTCTCTGCTCTCAGGTTCCTCTCTGATATTACCTCGTCGGTGGAAATACTAAGGGCAAGAGCACAGGCTTTTGCATAACATATAATACATAACACATAAGAGAATAAACCAATTTTTCTTCATTTCCCTCCTCAGGACAGAAATGAAGAACTCTGATTGGTTGATTTCCATCCATCTTCGGAAATGCACCAATCAGAACGTCGTATTTTCATCCAGCAAGCAATCCAGCACGAAAACAAGCATCGTGTGCCGCTGGCTTAACAAAGAAGGACTTCGAGATATCAAGAAGATAATCGATATTTTAAGAAGAAAGGAATCGAACATCGATTCATCGATGGAACATAACCTGCTTTTACCAGAGATGAACGTGAGAGCGGTCAACACGGCGTTTTCGACAACACCGACTTTCCGCACTGGCAAAAAGCGCCATCTGCATCCATTTTGAAAGGGGAACTACGATACTACATTCACTTTCAGGTTTCGGCGGTAAAACCTACATATGGTGGCAGTCTGTGCTACATCCACTTTTAGGCGGTTTATGTCTGTGTTATAATCATAATAGCGTACTTGACAAGCACGGTACCACACATTGTTATGCGTTTATATAATACTAGAACACTATAAGCGCGTGCTACGCGCGTGCCATTTTAGTTTATTCATATTAAAGCTTAGAATAAATTTTATAAATCACAAAAATAATCCCTGTAGTGTAATAAAAATTTAATAATATCCGACTCCAACATACGATATATTAGGCGCATACAGTTTGAAATTCTATGACATATTTTCTGCATAGTAACGCGTAACCATATAACCAATGAATTTCGACGTTTAACATTTCTATTCCAGACCATCTTAAGTTCATCTTTAGATGCTATATGCATCGTTCTATTGGCTAAAAAGCATTTGAAGATGAATTCAAGACAATCCTGAATATAGAAGCTGACTCTCCTCTCTCTCCTCCTAACTCCACCCCCCTCTCCCCACACTCCTCTCTTTCTATCACTCTCCCACCCTCCCTCACTCCATCACTCTATCACTTTCCCTTAGGCCCAGTTCCACAAAATCAAGTTTAAACCGTGATTATCTGAACTGACGTTACATTTAACGGCATGGTTAAACTTATATCGCGTTCCACATCATGTTTTTAACTGTAGTTTACTTAAACCTATAGTCTGTATGAAGAAACTGTCAAAGATTTCTCTTTCTTTTCAAACATAGAGTATGATTGGTTGTTGCTAATAGTGAAAAGAGGAAAAATTGAAATAAGTTGGATGCTATGACATCTAGTAGAGAATAATATATCTGTTTCGTATGAAGTAAACACTAACCAACATTAACATTTGCTGTATTTATATATAAGTATTAATTTATTAAAAGGTAGAAGTCCAGTGTTAATAATAATCAATTAGTTTATATTATTGATTTGATTGCATTTATCATATAATAATTGACTTTTATATATAGTTTTATACTCTGTTTTAGAATATAATCTATCGAAGCAAAAAACCCAATATTTTAAATTAAATTTATATATTTACTGTTCTGTTTTATGAGAAATTTCATGCTCGATTTCTGCTAGAACTATAATAACAGATTCTTTTAATAATCTAAATCGTGCATGAAAATCGACATTATTAAATTCTTTCAAATATGATGGTCGTCTTATTCTTATATTTCTTGTCCGTCGATAAATTAGGTTTTCAAAATCTTCATCTTTAGATGAAGATAATATGTATTTTAAAGCCATATCTCTTTGGTGTTCAAACGTTCAAAATATTTGTCAACTGAACTCCAAACCGGGATTGTCATAAATTTTTTTCTCAAATTGATGGTATTGCAGTGTTAAACTTCGTTTAAATTCATTAAACGCCCAAAGTTTTGGGTTTAACTTTAACTGTGAGAAATCAACGCTAACCATGGTTTAAGGCAGTTGTGGAACGCAATTTTTCGTCTAAACTAGGGTTAACGAGTTAAACTTCGTTTACAGTAAGTTCTGGAACCGGGCCTTACTGTTTCTTTTTCCTTCACTCTTTCTTTCTCTCTTCCAAAATTTCGGAAGTGGCTCTTCGATTTTCCATCTGTCTCTCAGTCAACTCATGCGGCACTCATTTTCCATCCCTTTGAATTTTTCCCATGGCATGTAAACGTTTGGAAATACCTTGGCGAGCCATATTTAATGCCTCCGCAAGTTGACCTTGCATTTGCGTATCTCCGCTTCTACTGGGAGTAGAGAGTCGACCATGTAGTCGAAAATGTAGGGTTTTGAGAGGACTTTAATTTGGTACCAGAGCCAGGCCTGTATCTCTAACCGTTTAGGAGATATCGAAGATTAAAGATTTCCAACTTTCCTCCGTCGATATCTCCGCTTCTACTGGGAGTAGAGAGTCGCCATTTACGGCAAAATGTAGGGTTTTGAAAGGACTTTAATTTGGTACCAGAGCCACGCCTGTATCTCTAACCGTTTAGGAGATATCGAAGGTTAAAGTTTTCCAGCCATTCTCCGTCGATATCCAGCATTCCTCCGTCGATATCTCCGCTTCTACTGGGAGTAGAGAGTCGTCCATGTAGTGGAAAATGTAGGGTTTTGAAAGGACTTTAATTTGGTACCAGAGCCAGCCCTGTGTCTCTAACCGTTTAGGAGATATCGAAGGTTAAAGTTTTCCAGTCATTCTCCGTCGATATCCAGCCTTCCTCCGTCGATATCTCCGCTTCTACTGGGAGTAGAGAGTCGTCCATGTAGTCGAAAATATAGGGTTTTGAGAGGACTTTAATTTGGTACCAGAACCAGGCCTGTATCTCTAACCGTTTAGGAGATATCGAAGATTAAAGTTTTCCAACCTTTCTCCGTTGATATCTCCGCTTCTACTGGGAGTAGAGAGTCGCCATTTACGGCAAAATGTAGGGTTTTGAAAGGACTTTAATTTGGAACCAGAGCCAGGCCTGTATCTCTAACCGTTTAGGAGATATCGAAGGTTAAAGTTTTCCAGCTATTCTCCGCCGATATCCAGCCTTCCTCCGTCGATATCTCCGCTTCTACTGGGAGTAGAGAGTCGTCCATGTAGCGGAAAATGTAGGGTTTTGAAAGGACTTTAATTTGGTACCAGAACCAGGCCTGTATCTCTAACCGTTTAGGAAATATCGAAGGTTAAAGTTTTCCAAGCTTTCTCCTTTGATATCCCCGCTTCTACTGGGAGTAGAGAGTCGCCACTTACGGCAAAATGTAGGCTTTTGAGAGCACTTTAATTTGGTGCCAGAACCAGGCCTGTATCTCTAACCGTTTAGGAGATATCGAAGGTTAAAGTTTTCCAAGATTTCTGCTTTGATATCTCCGCTTCTACTGGGAGTAGAGAGTCGCCACTTACGGCAAAATGTAGGGTTTTGAGAGCACTTTAATTTGGTGCCAGAACCAGGCCTGTATCTCTAACCGTTTAGGAGATATCGAAGGTTAAAGTTTTCCAAGCTTTCTCCTTTGATATCTCCGCTTCTACTGGGAGTAGAGAGTCGCCACTTACGGCAAAATGTAGGGTTTTGAGAGCACTTTAATTTGGTGCCAGAACCAGGCCTGTATCTCTAACCGTTTAGGAGATATCGAAGGTTAAAGTTTTCCAAGCTTTCTCCTTTGATATCTCCGCTTCTACTGGGAGTAGAGAGTCGCCACTTACGGCAAAATGTAGGGTTTTGAGAGCACTTTAATTTGGTGCCAGAACCAGGCCTGTATCTCTAACCGTTTAGGAGATATCGAAGGTTAAAGTTTTCCAAGCTTTCTCCTTTGGTATCTCCGCTTCTACTGGGAGTAGAGAGTCGCCACTTACGGCAAAATGTAGGGTTTTGAGAGCACTTTAATTTGGTGCCAGAACCAGGCCTGTATCTCTAACCGTTTAGGAGATATCGAAGGTTAAAGTTTTCCAAGCTTTCTCCTTTGATATCTCCGCTTCTACTGGGAGCAGAGAGTCGCCACTTACGGCAAAATGTAGGGTTTTGAGAGCACTTTAATTTGGTGCCAGAACCAGGCCTGTATCTCTAACCGTTTAGGAGATATCGAAGGTTAAAGTTTTCCAAGCTTTCTCCTTTGATATCTCCGCTTCTACTGGGAGTAGAGAGTCGCCACTTACGGCAAAATGTAGGGTTTTGAGAGCACTTTAATTTGGTGCCAGAACCAGGCCTGTATCTCTAACCGTTTAGGAGATATCGA